TAAATGTAGTTAACCACGAACAGGTGAGGGCGTAAAAGTGTCCACCCCAACACGAATCGTCGCCTCGACTGTCTTACGGTCCTCACGTGGCAGTCACGCAGTATACTAGATCTAACTTCACTCGATTTTTGCCTAAATGTCGTGGTTTCCAAAATCCAAATTTACGAATTCAGTTTAAGCACTGTTGTAAATTAATGATCGTGGACCGATTAGTTGGTAGCGAAAATCCCATGCGTCTCAATCGGTGCACATGAGAAAACACGGCTTAGTGGCACGGAAACGGAAAACCAGTTGCCGGTGCCAAGGTCCCCCGTTTGTTGCCACCTTCGAATCAGCTATTTTGCGCGTGACCTGATCGCAGTGCTTTTCCCGTCAAAGTTGAAGACGTTGGCAGCGAACAGCCGCTTAAACGAGGAGAAAAGTCAAGAACAAAATAAGCACACATATTCGGAATAAAGTGAGCTGCATACGACTGGAGTTTAGTGGGAAAAATAAACTCGAAAAGGCACTAGTAATTGAGTCCGGTCGAATCCCTGAGTATTGTAGAACTCCTGATTTAGTTGACAAAGAGGAAGAAATCTAGGCAGTCATTATGAATTGTTTGGGACAGGGCGCAGTCCACCCTAAAGGCGAATCCGACCAAAGAGTCGGTCGGGGTTCTTGTGGGCAGTCAAATGGTGCGAGCTTTGAGTCAATGCAGACTCTTGCGTCCACGAGTATGGCATCTTCACCTCGCTAAAGAAATACGAAGAACCAAGTGGCTTATCACCTGTCTCGTGAGAATGAAGCCACTACCCCGTCCATCTGTTATAAAAACCCAACAGATGGGTTTAATTGAGCACCTGCAGATTTGGCATTGGCGCCAATCGACCAGACTGACATGACTTGGCAAAATTGAGTAATCTCAAGGCAGTAACCCGCATTTCTTTAACAATTAGTCACACAACCTTTCCAACTACCTCCGTAAGTCCTCCTGTGGCAGACAATTAACTTTGAGCCAATTGGAGTACAAGGATTGGTTCACTTACTTTCCATTCACAGTGCAACCGTACTTCAACGCCTAGATCCTTCTTCAGAATATTGAGAGTGGAAGCGGTCTGAAGTTCAAGCAAAACTGTGCGTTCAAAGATACCGCTTTGTAGGATAGGTAAGTAGAGAGTTGACTTACATCATATAAAGTATTGTTGGAGGGGATTATGCTATTGCGTTCAAATATTCTGCAAGGCAGGCAACGGAAACTCAGCAGTGTGAAAGGCAAGTTAATTTCACATAAAACGGGGAGGGAGAGGCTACTATGCTACTTTGATCTGCCCTCGTTCTACTGTCTGGGTCAGCTCACTAGGCGCCCTTTGAATTTGTGCGCCCAGTGGGCGCGACATGCGATGCCTGCCTTTAGGGTGACACATGCACGCTCGCATCAGGTTTCGAGCTGTACGGTTGTTGTTCTCAAGTAATCGACGTTAGTGTGTCCATCTTACCGCGGGAATCAGCTTTTCGTAAGCAAGTTGTGGCGAGGTAAACGAGGTTCAGGTAATGCGGTAGAAAGCAAGTATAGCGGGAAAACGAATGAGGAAATTAGAGGCTAGCTAAGGCTAGAAAATGACCAACGAAGTATGGTAACACAGGGTTGGAAAAGCATTGCAATAGACTTTGGCGCAATGCGTAGGATAACGAAAATAGTATGCAGAACAGGTAGGTGAAATGAAGAAGAGATAGGGAAATATCCAAATTTGAAAAAAGTTGAGACGGACCAATGAGGAGATAAGCCAAAACGAAAGTAAGAGGAAATCCGCGTAATACATTAACACTGGCCGGGTGACGAAAGCATAATAGGATGGAGGCGGGTTTATAAAGAGGAACTAGGGGTAAAAAATCCAAGACCTACCTAGTAAAGTTGAATTGTCTCTTTAATTCGAGACTGGTAGCAAAGTAGGCATGCTGGTCAGGAATCAGCTGATGACGGGTAGTGGCACAGGAACCGTGTTTCGCCCATTCATGAGACCTGTAAAAAGAATTCGCAGGTACAATCTCGCTCGTCCTCCAATCGACGGAGGCAATAAAGAAAACCTGGCCAAGCATATGGCTGTGGCAGAGGTGAGTAGTGGATGGGTTGATAGATCGGCGACCGGATAACGTGGTACCGCTGGATTAAAATCCGGAGGCTAAGTGTCATCCACTTATAAGTAACTAACACCCGGTGAAAAGTTCGGAGATCATCCAACGGCACCTGGAGATTAAACAGCACAAAAGGAATGTCGAACTTCGGGTCTCCACAACACATCCTGTCTCATGACATTTCACCAATAACTCCTCAGCTGTACCAACTTCGACCGAAACAGAAATCAACCACTGCAAATCACTTGCTTCAGCTTGACACAAACCCCCTTTTCGGAGAAATATCCACGAGTAACCGGGCATCTGCTGTAAGCACAACAAGTTACCAATGCCTTTCTATGGAGACTTCATGGACTCCAGTCACCGTTAATGGATGCCCCAGTGGTCTGAATTAGTGTCCACAGACTGAGCAGCCCAAATATTGGGAAGCAGCGATGAGAATAGGAACTATGTGAGCATGAGACTGGCGCAAAACACTCAATTTGACTAGTTTAAAATCCGCCAAAGAGAACGAGAACGACAAGTCGCCAGAAAGGTAATGAATCACGTGAAATTACTTGGGAGTGTTTAAAGGACACCGAAAACCAAAAAATTTCGTAAATTCGTGAAAGGCACTAACCAGAATTTCCATGGATGTTCAAAATTCTTCTCATCAACCCACTCTACTTGGAGTTGGCTGAAGATATCCTAGAAGACAAGCACCAAAAATACAAAATATGTCCAAGAATAAACAAGCAGTTTTCATTTCCAAGAATCAGAAAACACAATCACATATGTTTCTTTCAGAAACTTTTAAATTTAAATATACAGCAGTAAAGTGCTCCAGTTACCAAAACATGGTCTGTTAAGCTGACGATGCTAGTTCTACAATTATGAATAGCCGACAAAGAGGAACAACATACAGTGATACTGGCCAACCAACGTGCACCATAAATGAGGTCAACGAAGTGTGCTGTGCAAGTTAAAACGTAATTCTAGTGTAGCACACAACAACTACCCAAAGCCTACTTTAAATGTACAGTAACCTAGACAAAAGATCCACCTATGACTAAAACTGTCGTAATGCGTGGGGACGGGTCAATGCAGAACTAAAAGACTTCAATTTCACTCGAATAAAGGTTTCTCAGCACCAAAACTACTATGAAGCAAAGACAAGAAACCGCGTCGAAATGTTGTATTCTTGACGTAGATTATTATTCCACATCAAGTCAGCAATCATCTGCATTTGAGGACGCCCCATACATACTCGCAAGATCGACAGGTTCACAAAAAAAACAAAAATACACACTTGCCTTTATTGAGTCGTTATTGAAGGGTGGAGAACCTTTGCACTCAGCCATCGATATGTCTGGCCAAAGTTGGGGCCTAAAGAAAATCGTGCACACAGAAGCTAGGCATGAGTAGACACCGGGGTGAGGAAAGGTCAAACACATTAATTAAACAGACCATAATCCGTGAATATTGAAGCCACTAACAACGCGCGGATATGTGCACTAAAGCAGAAAAACGAAGGCCATTTTACGAGTGGCACGGAAACGGAAAACCAATTGCCGGTGCCAAGGTCCCCCTCGTGTGCGGCCACCTTACACCTTCAGATAGCGAAGTCAGTGCAATTAGTCCGAGAGCTACTTGCAGTTTTTTAAGGTCTAACTTCAAGAGCAATACAAGAAAACTTAAATACACAAATACGAAGCTACTGTAGGAACGGACAGTACGTAGGTACGTCGATAGGTTGGGCACACTATTATTATTATAAAACCACTAGAGAAACCCTTAGCTGACGTGGAAAGTGAGTACGTGGTCAGGGCAGACAACTGCTTCGATAGCACACAGCACACACAGAAAAGTGGACCAGGAGATGATGATAATGAACGAAGTTTACGGTTGTTTATTCAGCAGTTTCCAGTAAAAGGCTTTTTTTACTTAAAGGCTGCACAACTTATAAGCGCCTTGGTATCAAATCCTAATGGATATCTACGAATATACCAGAAACTTGAAATCAGCTCACAGCAATACGTCTCCAGCATCCAGTAAAAGGTAGTTTTCTATTTAAAGTCTACACAGCTTTTAAACGCCTTGGTACGTCTCCGTATTCACAAACACAGCTGCAAACTGTACTTGTTCATCTACCTTAGCACTCGGTACTTTTATAGCCAATTTTTGCGCTCGCAAAAAGGATTAGGATGAGGAGGGAAGGAATCGACAGTACATAGACACGAATTATCCCTTTAAATATTTGCACCCTTGAGAAATAAACAAAGCGATGCATTAAATTAGAGAGATGGAATAGAAAATAACAAGTTTACTTAAAATCTACGCTTTAAATGGATCGTTTTACTACTTATCTATGAGACTAAAAGCCACAAATAATTTTTTTTACCATTATTCAACCTACAGCCACAACTGTACACGTTACTCTTTACAGCAACTAGTACGTTTTAAGAAAAAAAACCCACCTTGGTGAATTGGCAGTAACCGGGGGGCCACGACTGGGTGAATACAAGGTAGTCCCAAGTTACATTCTGTGGTTCATTTCGCGGATTCGAGATATGTTCCACCCTCTGATAAAACAATTCGATAAAAACAAGTGACGCAGATCCACATAAATGAAGATGTGCAATGATAAGAAGTGCACACGTAAACAACAGCCTAGAAGAGAAAATGTGCGCATTTAAGAAGATGTGGCAATACCAATCAGAATGATCACACACGTAAGACAATGTAATAATGCGACCGCTGAAATCCTCACGAGATTTACATGTTTAGGAAGTCGTCAAAAGACAAGCTGCAATAAGATCATTTCTTTTAGACTTAGGAGTAATCAACAACTCGAATTACGCAAGAAATGTCGGGATCCTACCATCGTCATTAAACGTCTTTGTAGTGATAATAACAACGCTTCATCGTAATTTTAATATGGTCTAAACGCCATATACCTTCCTCGAATGAGAAACCTCATAGAAATTAGATGGGATACAGTCCCACTAAATGTGCAAGAGACTGCTGTTGTGATTTGTGTGGCTAATACAACGACAGCAATTTATTACTGGGTCCTTCAATTACTGCTACTTATATTGGTACTATAACAGAAAAATCCACCAAAAAACAAAGGAGCCAAAATCGCCTCACCCGGACGCCGCCATATTTAATCCGTCATTTAAAAATTCCATTAACTTAAATTAGTCGGAGGTTCCTTTGTTTATCGGCACTGTGGTAATTTATTTCAGACTCGACATGATGCATCAAATACAATTATACAATTCCAGGACTTAATGGAACAAGCAACACTAAATGATATTAATATTTCCTAACATAATGGATAAAATTATTTGAATGATATTGTAAATGTTCGCTTGAAAAAAAATAAATTTGTCTCACTTTCTTGCCCTCACCGTTGCTCAATATTTATAACCAGAAGGTAGTGTTTTAGTTTTGTTTTTTTCTGTTTTCTATGCAAATTTGCTATTAATCATCTTGCACAGAGCACAGGAACCGAAGTTGGACTGAGAAACATTTCTTGCCTTATTTATGGGATTGAATTTTGTAGTTTTTGACATATTTCAATGTCATTTACCTATTTCATTGTCATAAAGTACAAAATTAGCTTCCCTAAATACTGTACTGATATACAATTTCAGTATCAGCTGTATAATAACTTTAACGAATAAAATTGTGGTCGAGATATTTCTGTCTCTTTCAGTGTGGTTGTAGTTTGGTCACTTTGTTGGAACACTTGCAACAGATTAATTAATTTACCAGCTGATATTAGCTGATACGGCTATGCTGCTTTCGGCCCGATTATCTTAGAAAATCCAACGCGTTCACAACTCCGGATAATATATGAAAGATTTCGGATCGTTCTGGTCTTAAATGATGTAATTTTTCGACTGTCTGGGAATAAATTGAGAGTTAGAGCATCAAATACCGAACATTTAGTAAACCATGCAAAAAGAAGCTTCCCATCTTCATGGTTGATGATTTGTTTCTATTTCTAGGTTTTTGTACTGTTAACGCACGCCATTCCACAAATTCACATTTACTAAACACTACCCATCCTGTTTGACCAGTAAACTGATTATCACGGCATCCACTTACATAACTAATTAAGCACTTTCACTTTACTCATTGTATTTGTCTTTAGGTCTACATCACAAACATTTAATTGTCTAAGCAAACGTTTGCATTAGTGTTCCGATCATATTATCTTACAGAACTCATTTATCGATATTGATCTCCATTAAAATAAATTAGTTTGTGTCTAAGGGTCTACGAGAGTTGTAAGCATTTATTAACTGCTGATGCTTGGTTTTATTCAAAACCGAACCCTTCGGGAACAGCAACATCATTGTTCGGTCAATTTGGTGATTAACGACTATAACATGTTATGTAGCCCTGAGCATACCTTTGCGGTGACCGCCTGCAAGACTATTGTGGAGTCGATTTAGTGACTCTTAATGCTTCTGCATAGGCTACTAAATCCGTCTTCATCTATCAGCGACTATATTTGTACATCGAAATTTATTTGAAACAGATCAAATTAATTACTTGACTGACTAAGACTTTGGCTGGTCTGAAAATTTTCAATCTCGCAGCATCCAAGTTACCATGGGAAGACAGCTTCATTGTTGTCAGAGAAACTAGATCGATGTGCTTATTTGTCTAGCCGAGACAAATGACATTTTAAATAAAACTGGCCTCTCAACCTAATTAAGATGATCCTAAAACAAACTCAGGAAGGTGACCCTACTCAGATCGTCATTTTGAGTTTTTATTGTTTAATACTTAATGCATTTTGTTTTAGTAATAATGGTTTGGCTATTTCAATGCAGTGGTGGCGTAAACACTCGGCAAAGTCCATCAGTATTCAACCCAATTTATTTACTTCAATGTTACAACAAACCTGTACGCTGTTTATCGCAGTTGCCCTAGCGTTAACATCTGTATGTCTAAGGAACGACCCCGTT